CTCTCTGTCTCTGTCTCTGTCTCTCTCTCTCTCTCTCTCTCTCTCTCTCTCTCTCTCTCTCTCACACACACACACACACACACACACACACAGGATGGTCTATCCCTTATTCAAACCTGCTGATGTGAACCTGTGAACTGAAATTTTAACTATGAAGAGATCTGTCACTTATTTGCATACTACATCTAGTACTTAAATGGACATTTTATAGTGCACAAAGTACTTTCATATATACTGGCTCATCCAATTTTCACAACTCCACAGTAGGAAGCTAATATTGAATTATTTATTTATTTATTTATTTAGGCTGTACTGGGGACTAACTTAGAGACTCATGCATGCTAGACAAGTGCTTTACCACTGCACTATATTCCCAGCCCTGGGTTTGCTCTTTACTCTATAGCCCAGACTGTCTTTAAAATTGTAACAATCATCTTGCTGCAGTTTCCCCAGTTCTGGGGTTATAGCTACAAGTCACCGCCAGCTCCAGAACCAATTATGATATGAAAGAAATCTAAAGTTCAATGGCATGATGCGAGTTGTGTGAAGTCCTATGTCTACCAAACTATGGTCCTGGAAATGGAGAGCCAGTCTCTGGACTTCAGTGCATGGCTTTCTCAAGCTCTATCACTTCCCTTTTGGGGGAGAAAGGACAGGAGCTATTAAGTAAAATACTAGCTCTTTCACCCTATTTTTATTTGGTTATAATAGAGCCATGATTGATCTAGAGTCTTCTCTACTCTTCTCTCTCAGGTACAGAATGACAAGTAAAGAGGGAAAAAAAGGAGATAGTGCATGCCAAGGTAAATTCTATAAACCTAGGCCCAGCTCAGAAAAGAATGTGACTTGCTTTTGGTGAATTCCATTGGAGATCCCAGTTCCAAGTGTACCATCCTCAGCATTACATTCCTACTCTTGGGAAGCACTATTCTTTCCCATTCCCATCATGCGAGTGTGTGTGTGTGTGTGTGTGTGTGTGTGTGTGTGTGTGCGCGCGCATGCGCGCATTTGGGAACTTCTACTAAAAATTAAGGCTCTAGATGATTTTTCCCCATACCAGTACCCTGTAAACAAACCATGAGTGGTGGCACAAAATCAAAGGTAACTCCAATAGTAACTTTTTTTTTCAAGGCAGAAAAAAGACCCTAGTCTGCAGAGGATTACTGAACACACATAAGTCAAATGGTCCAAATGTATCTGTTTATACACCATTAGTTAAATGGTGAAATATTTACTGCCCTGTTAATCAACAATAGGTTTAATCAAAGATAGCAACCACAGTAACAACCATTTAATGATTTAATTTTCTTATGTATTTTATTCGTTTTTATTTTATGTGTATGAGTGTATTGCCTGCATGTGTTTAAGTGCACCTGTGTCATGCAATGCTCAGAGATGTGAGAAGAGGGAATCAGATTTCCCTGGAACTGGAGGCATGTAAGGTTGTTATCTGCCAAGTGGGTGCTGGGAATCAAACCCAGGGCCTCTGTAAGAGCAGCCAGTGCTCTTAACTGCTAAGCCATCTCTCTAGTCCCCATTTGGTGACTTTATAAGAACTATTTAAAAAAGAGAGACACTAACAGTCGATAACCCAAAAGGGGTTTAAAAACAAGTTATATTAGTAACTGGTGAAGCTTGTTACTTGGTTTTAAAGAAACAGGCTGATGAAGGGAAGGGTCTACAAAAATAAATTATTTTCCAATAATTAGAGGGGCTTTAATAACCTATTGCTTGGCTTCATTTTAAAGCCATTATGACTTTGATTATATGTTTAGTTATTTAAGATGCCAAATTATTCATTATCCAATTGATATGAAGAAGAGTTTCCAAATTCTCCACTGAAAGAAAGAATAACATTATTTATTCCCATAGTAGCCATCTCCTATCTATTATGTGTCAATAAATGATATAAAGATTCAGATGACTTTGGTAACTACATAAATTATTTGGAAAAATTATGTTTGGGATATTTTGAACAGAAACCCTAGATCTAGAGGCAATGTAGCACAAAGGAACAACCCTGTTCCCTGGATTAAGACAGAGAAAGCCTGGCTTTAATATTTAGTCCTGCACATCTGTGTAGCCTCATCTGCATCACTAACCATTCCAAGTTTGTTTTCATCATTAGTGAAATGCAGGACACTTTCAATATGCAAATGTGTAAATGTGTGTGCAGAAATACACAGCCTCCTGCTCTTCAAGTATCCAGTGCTCCAGCTCTCTCCTGCTCTTCTCCTGCCCCACAGTGATGCAGTAAGAAGGGGTTACTTGATCTATGAAAAGGAAAACTGGTTCGACTTTGACTTGAAGTCTTAACCCTCTTGTACAAGGTGGGGAAAGCTGTTCTTGCTCCTCTAGCCTCCATTCTGTGAATGAAGGAGGCAGCCTTTGGCAGGCCCAGCAGTTTCAAGAATCTCTCCATTTCAGCTTCACTTCCTCTACCTGACTGAGATGGTGGCTAAAAGGCCTTTGTCTTCAATCCATTAGGTACTTATGGAGTACCACTTTAATAGGTTTCCCAGGTACTTTGGGTCATAAGTTGATTGTTTAATCATGAGCTTATAATAATTCTTTGTGTGTATTTTCAACTACCATCATTTTCTTATAGTTTCTGTGAGAATTCAGATGTATGCTAAAAACAGAAATAAATCTATGTAGAGTTCTGTATCAAGCAGGTGCTCCAATAAAAAGTTTTAAAAATCTTAAAATCAAGCAATGGCTTTTGCAGAAAAACCATTGGACAGGCAGGCATCCTCTCCTAAAGCAAACAGGGAAAAGTTCCACCTATTTTCTGAAAGAGCTTCTGCAGGGTTAGTATTATTTCTTCCTTAAATACTTGGTATAATTCACCAATGAAGTCATGTGGATTTGTAGAAAAGTTTTAATTATGAAGCCAGTTTCTTTAATATAAAACTGTTCAAGCTTTCTATATTTTCTCAGGCCAGTTTTGGTAATTTGTACTGTTGAAGGAATCTGTCCATTTCACCCATCAAATTTACTGGAACAAGGGCAAGAAGATACCTCAATTTGTAAAGTGCTTGCCATGCAAGCATGAAAACCTGAGTTTGATCTCTTCCATCTTTGTAAAACAACAGGCTGGTAAGAGTGCTTGCTTTTCAAGTGTGAGTATCTCAGTTTGGAACCCCAGCACACACATTAAAAAGCTGAGCATAGCTGGGCATGTCTGTAACCCCAGCATTGGGAGACAGAGATAGATGGCTCTTGAAAACTTGCTGGCCAGTCAGCCTAGCAAAAACAGTGAGCTTTGGATTCAGTGAGAGATCTTGTCTCCAAGCAAAGAGGCAGAG